CCGACGCTCCACAGTAACATTAAATTACTATCCCAAATATTATTTTCAAAACCTAAATTTTTTAAATATTATTTGGGGTATTTTTAAAAATATTTACTTGTTGAAACAATGATGTTAACAAATGTCAAATATTCATATGAAACAATGACTGTATATATCATTGTGCATATTTTATTCAAACAATTAGAAATTAAAAATAATATTTCCCATATTGTTTAGACTCGAAGGATTTTTTATAAATAAGCATTCTCATTTTTTTTTTGTGTAAACAATATTTGAAAGAGTTAACGGTTTATGCATTTTAAATGGAATTTATTTGAGTTCATATGTTTACAGAATGTCGTAAATTGACGGATAATCCCAACCTTTATCTATCTGTTCGTAGCTGATTTTCTTATTGAACTAAAGATGAAATAGTTTCAGTGCCGTTACTTTTGGCGCATAGGCCTACCGCCTTTTGGAACCGGTTGACACCATTTGTGTTTATTCTAACCATTTAAAATGTATGATCATTTTATCTTTGTGCAAAATTGCAATCTTTGGGGGTCGCATGACCCTTTCCCAGGGGTCGCCTGAGACCATCTGAAAACACATTTACTAACAGCTACGACGTAGCAATAAAAGTAATTGTGCGGCTGGGGGGTCGCCACGCCATGAGAAACTGTCTTAAAGAGTTGCAGCATTAGGAAGGTTGTGAACGACTGGCCTAACATTTCTTACATAAAACACTGCAAAGCGAAAGTGAAGAGTTCTTCAGGATAAGAGTTTAAAACCTCATAATTTAAAAAGGGAATCACTCCAACAAATTAAAAATTGGACTTGCAGTACTAGCAGTAGTGTATTTCATTTGTGCAATAGAGGGGGCGCATATGTCAAACATGTGCCGCCGTACATTTATGCCAGGCCATAGAGGTCTTGACCGGGCTACAATTATTTTTGGCCCGAGAGATAATTTTTAGGCAAAACTATAATTTAATAGTCCTGACATATAATGTGCAAATAAAAATCCCTTATTAGCCGTCTTGCCGACGACCGACTATCTCAGAGCAGTGTTCTCGCTAAGATCCAAAAGTTGCTTCTTTAAAAAAAACATCATGGCAGTGGGTCTTTCGTTTCGGTGTTGATTTTAGACAAATAATCCTTGTGATTAAACATGGCAGCAGAACTGAAATACTCTCTTCATCCATGAAGTATAATAAGTTCTAGAAAAATATTCAGTTCCTAAAGTTAGGCCAAAACATTCGTGTCAAAGAGGACAATGTGCAATCAGAAACACTGTGACTTTTACCACTTTTTTTTTTAATGTTGTGAATGGAAAACGCAATAACTTTTATTAGAGCAGCGGTTCTCAACCTGTGGGTCGCGACCCCTTTGGGGGTCTCACGACCCTCTCCCAGTGGTCGCATAAGACAATCAGAAAACACATATACTCTACAAGTAGCAACGAAACTAATTGTGTGGCTAGGGGTCGCCACTACATGAGAAACTGTATTTAAGGGTCGTGGCATTTGGGTTTGCAATATAGTAGGACATGTAACTTTCAAAGGATCAACAAGACAAAAAAAACTTCGAGGACAGCGGTTCTTAACCTGTGGGTAGTGACCCAATTGGGGGACGAATGACCCTTTACAGGGGACAAATGACCCTTTAAAGATGTCACCGAAAAATTATATACTCTTCAGTTATTAAGTAACAACTAAAATAATGTGTTGGTTTGAAGTCACCCCAAAATGAGCAACTGTTTTAAAGAGTTGCGGAATTAGGAAGGTTGAGAAACAATGTTCTAGAAAAACAATGTTCTAGAATGTGAATATTACTTTGATTACAATTTAACAGAAATAATACTCTCAGATATAGAGACAACATCAAGAAACATTTTACTACGAATTTTGGGTTAGCTAAACTAGAATATTTTTTTTTAATTTTTATTTATGGATCAAGTAAACAGGCAATATCGCTCTTGAATCCAAAAGAGGCGAGAAAACGAAGTACCAAAAAGTGCACCATTAACACTTTACACGCAAGAAAAAAGAAAATATAAATGTCAGTAAGAATGATAATTAGAAATAAACAAAAAAAAACACTTAAATTTTCGTTTTTGTCAACTGTGCCATCAATCTGATAAATTTTAGAGGCTCCAACACCACAGTGTAAATAGAGTCGTAGGAACAGATGTTCTGAGAAATAATTCAAAGTAAGATACTGTATTTAAATTTAAGTATTTGTTAAAAATGTTTAAAAAATATGTTAACATAGTATCTATATGTTCAAAATAATAAAAAAAAGGAAACAATTTTTAAAATCTTAGATTTAGAATATTTGATATTTTTAGAGCTATTTTTTTTAATAAGCTCAGTTAACACTGTCCAGCCACACCTTATGATAAAGAAACTGTCCTCATTAGGTGTAAATTTAAATATTCAGGCTTGGATACTGATTTTTTAACAAATCGATCACTATATGTAAAATATAACTTACCAATTATCTCTAACCAGAGAAATAAGCACCAGGGCGCCACAAGGCTGCATTCTCTCCCCTGTATTTTATACAATATATACCAACGATATTCAAAGCTCAAGCGACACCGTTCCAATATTAAAATTTGCTAATGATACCACCATCGTTGGCTTAATATCTGAAGGAGAAGGCTTATACCGCAACGTAGTTGCCAGCCTTATCAATTTGGTGCGATGAAAACTTTCTCCAGCTGAATGTCTCAAAAGCAAAGGAAATGGTTGTTGATTTCAGGAGGGAGTCCACTAGATTACAGATCTCAACATACAAAAAATCAAATCAAAGTGTAGAAAAATTAGAGGCATATTAGGTGTCATCATTAATAATAAGCTAACATAGCATGAGCACGGCCAAATGCTGTATAAGAAATTCATCCAAAGACTGTTCCATCTCAGAAAACTGCAATATCGGCGTTTACAAACAAGTTGTTAACTTATTATACAGTACAACAATTGGAAGGTTACTTAAATTTAGTGTTACCTGCTGGTGTGGGAATTCGACGTCTGATATTAAACACCGCATAAACTGACTAATCAAGGAACATAACACAAACTAGACATCCTTCACTTGAAGAACTATTTGAAGAAAGATGTTATTGTAAAACTAAACAAATTTTGGATGATACATCCCACGCTCTTCATCACAAATACCTAGGATCGGCCCATTCGGGACGAAACCTTTCCGTCAGGGCGAGGTATAAAAATTCTTTTGTTGCCAAATCTGTACGAATTTACCAGTGTTCTCCCCTGAAATCACAAATGTTAATGAGAACTAATAAGTCCCTGATTTGGCTAAGAGAACTCACTTCTGGCTTCTGGTTACAATAAACACAGGATTATGGGTACAATAAACACGAGCTTCTGGTTTCAATAAACATAGCTTCAGAGTTCAATAAACACGGTGTTCTAGTTACAATAAACATGCGCTTCAAGGTACAATAAACACGGGCTTCTGGACACAGTAAACACGGGCTTCTGGGTGCAATAAACACGGGCTTCTGGGTACAGTAAAAATTGGCTTCTGGGTACAATTAACACGGCCTTTTGGACACAGTAAACACGAGTTTCTGGGTACAGTAAACACGAGCTCCTGAGTGCAATAAACACTGGCTCTTGGGTAAAATAAACACGGGCTTCTGGGTCAAATGAACTATTTGTCTTTACTCAATGATAATAAAAGTGTAGTAACATTTGCAAAAAACTAAGATGACACAAACAAAAAAGCTAGTGGTCTGGAGTTCTATCCCCACCAAGGCCACCATCAAAAGCACACCAGATGATGGGACTCATTAGCCTTTGACGGCAACTCATATAAAAGAAGGCAAACTCTGAAATTTAAACCTTGCAGGAGCCGAAATGATCAATAAATCGGCCTCCAAATATGAACTAAAAAAAGAAAGAGAACATCCTGGCTTCTTGTTTACAGTAGAGTAGTTGAGGCCACGGCAGACGTGTGCATATGTCCCCGGGGTCTCGATGAGTGTGGGCGGCAAAATGGGTTATGATTGTATCTTTTAAAGCAAATAATGGGGATCGGAGTTGAGCAGGGCCATAGAAATGAATATTTTCCCGGGTGCCATGTATCGACCAACTCCGTTGTTCATTTTATTTGTACACAATTATCTACATTTTCATATACTTTTTTTTATAGTAATTTTGCCAATTTTTCGATTTTAAAATACTGTATTTGCTAATATTTTAAATGTTGAACGGCCACCAATTTCATATGTAAGTTGTATGGCCCGCACTTTCGTTATCTAAAAAAAAAATTATTATATTTTTTTTAAATTATTTTAAAAAAAACTAATTTTTGTAGCTTCCCAAATTAAGTTATCTTCTTCTTCTGGACGTTAGCAAGTTTTCAAAAATACATCGACATCCCGGAAAACCTTAACGATGTAATTAAAATTCAAGAACAAGTTTTGTTGTTGTTTAAACTTCCTGCTTATCAGTAACGCTTATACATTATATTGCCTATGCAAAGTAAAACAATAAACAATGTATTTAGATAGCAGGGCAGATTTTAAGTGGCACTTAGCAGAGCAATATAAATCAAACTGTCCGATGGGATGCGTGCCAACAATGGCGTCAATTTTTGTGGCTGTGTTTGTTACTATTCTATGTTTGTCATTCGCACGCAAAAGATGACCAAAGCAACTTTCGACTAGAGTACTAGTCTTGACTTCAGCTGTATTTTGTTTAAAATGTGCGTGGCTTGTTACATTCAACAGCCTCACTCTCTAGCCTTTGCCTATTACAAGCCTGCACAACTTAAAATGTAAGACAGGCCGTAATACTTCATTAAAGAATGTATGTGGGCCGTACTACTTTATGACAAACTTGTGCGGGCTGAAGAAAGTAGGACAGGGATGGGGGAAGCTATTAAGAAAATAATATAAAAAAGAATTGTTCGTTGCTCCTCGGGCTGCAAAGTTAGTGAGAGCGAGCCGCATGTGACCCGCGGGCCGTATGTTGTGCAGGCCTGCTATTAGATTAAAGGTTAACACTTGCTCATGACGACGGGAAATAGACCAGGATGCAGTAGATTACCAATGCAAAAGTAAAACAGGATATGTTGAAGCTTGAAACAAAAGACAGGACTATAAGATACACTTTTGGGCTTAGAGCCTTCTATAGTGAAAAGACAAATAGAAGTAACAGAGCACAGTAAAAAGTTTTAGACATCTCCTTTTTTGTTGCCGTAAGTAGGATTAAAGGAGTTGAAATAATATAAAATTTATATTAATATTTAATATTAATACTGTGAAAAATGAGGTGGAGAATCTTAATGAATCAAAACATTTAGGGATACATACATTTTGAGAAATAAAAGAATAGAAGGCATTTAAAGAAATAGAGAAACATTACTAAGAGAGTATTTGATTAATACTATAAGGAGATATGATTGCGAAAAGCTAAATAAATTTGTTTTCCACGATAACTCTTTCCGGTGTGTTTGTGCAGGAAAATAGTGCAATAATGGATACAACTAATGCACCTTTTCTTATTCTCTGTGAAAGTGTGAAGAGACGGGGAAAAGTTTACCTTGTTCAATAACCCGCAGATGTTCTGTGAACATATCTGCCATTCCTATCCTTGTTTCGCCTATATAACCAGCAGAGTATTTTATGTTTCACTGTGCGTTTTATGTCACACGAGTGGTCGTAATGTTCATTACATCAATGTCATGACGCCTGTGGGACTCCAACTCTAGGTTCGATTTCAGAGTTTGCCTTCTGTTAGATGAGTTGCAATACAACGTTAAAGAGTCCCATCATCTCCGGGTAATATAGATGTATGGGAATACATCAGTTTTGGCCGCTGGGCCACCTAAAACATATGTCACAAGTCAAGTAAAACAAGGGAACTAAATTTTAATTGGAATTTCACGATCATTTTTTAATATTATATTTATTTGTATATGTCTTTGCGAGCCCATTACTTCTCGACTACTTTTCTCTATATTTAGGACTCATGCTCTGCTGCCTGGTTACAAAAATGTGTACGAAAGAAAGTTGCTAAAACATAACCTTTTTTAAAACTTAAATTTGTTCCCATTTCTCATGATTTTAAAAAAAAAAATAATATTATTTTAATGTGCGTCGTATTGTTAAAAATGATAGAATTAAAAAAAATTCATTCAGTTATCCCGAGATTATCCTTTTGAAGGAGCTTTGATTAAACAAATAAAAAAAATGATGAAATTTTAAACCAAAAAGATGTTAAAAATATTTTTTTATAAACCTCATGCATTGCCCAACAATAATATATGTAACATAATGAATTTTAGACAAGGATTCTAAAAGTTATTGACTCTTTTGTATGGTCATTAGATATCTCACGAAAAACATGCAAAATGCAAGGAATGTAAAGAGTTAAAATATAATAAATATTCTCGAGTGTTTTTACTATGTTAAAAGAAGGGTGTATTTAAGATTGAAAGAGTTAAAAATAAATGCAGAAGATTGCAAGAGACCACTATGTGTAGAAGTATACTATTGATGACCTATGATCCACCAGGAATTAAAAAAGACAAAGGAGAGAATCGAAGAATTTGACCAAAAGTATATTATAATTTATAAATAAAGAGAATGTTAACTATAATAGATACTGTTACATTGACATTGCTATGGTTTTCTTTTAAAGTAAAATATGCCAATGTCGAGTAAAAACGTAATAAAATAATATTTAAGATAAGTTTTACATTACTATCCTGATTTAAATTAATACGGAAATTTTCAAACTTTTGCAAACGCTTAACTATGAAGAGTTTATCCAGATATTATTAACCCAAATGCAATTCTGCTTTTAATTAAAAAAATCTTCTTTTTTTTTTCATTCGTTCTCCCAAAGATTGTGTTTCAAAGATGTCTTAAAGTAATGAAGTTACAATTACAGGTCAAGCACAGCACAAAATAACTATCATTTTGCGGAACCACAATTCAGTTACGTCATCTGAGTTTGTTGAATAAATATATAATCCCATAATATGCCAAGAACAAACATCGAATTACTGTAAGTCAGTTTCTAAGGTGTGGCTCGTACTTAATATGTGTCTTATATGAACTACAACACTGTTTAACTTCTTTGTTGGCAGCCTGAAAAATGCTCGTTTTAGTTACTTCTTAAAATCTGGTGGAGATGTACCAATACAATACATTTTAGTTATTAATATGTTAAAAGCTAATTTAAGAGGGATATTATATAAACAATTACATAATTATTGAAAGTAATAAGATTTAAAATTTAAATTGGGGATTTTTATTTTTCATTGATTTTAGAGTTATGCATTTAAGTTTGTATATTATATATATCTATAGATCTATACCTATATCTATCAATCTATTTATCAAAACTGTACATTTTTTTAAAGAATTAAAATTGTGAGCAAATGTGTATTTTTTTTATTACGTGCTTTTGTGTTGTTTATTCGAATAGAAAAAAAAAACAAAGCATTATCTATATAAAAATTACAGAAATAATTTAGCAGCTTTATCAATTGTTTTGGAAACACAAATTAAATATTTTTTTTTTGAGTGACTTATAGGGTTAATGTTTTTATCTTTATTTTCAGATATTGGCATTAGTAACAGTCTATTAAAACGTTTTTAGTAGAGAAAGATTTGTGAAATGATTTTACCAGCTGCAAGACTTTCAGTTGCTATCTTTTTATCCTTTAGGTTTTTCATCGACAACTACTGTAAGTTTTTAAACAATGTTATTCTATAATTCATCCTCCACACCTCTACCTTCCAAAATAATTGAATAAATAATTTATAAGTTTAAAATGCATCTCCTTTTAAGTATAAAAATTCATAAAATTAAAATTAAATGTAGTACATGGGCATAATCTAAACATTTATGTAAAGCAAAAGTTATGCGATAAAATACATTGAATGAAATAAAGAAGGTCTTGTACAATTACTATAGTAATAATTTAAAAACGTGTTTGAAATTTTACATTTTTTTTTAATAAAATAAAAATAAGAGACTTGTTTTGGAAATAATCTTAATAATGAAGACACAATCAGTAGACATCATAGAATAATAATATAAAAAAAATATTATTTAAAATAATTAAAATATTGTTTGTTTTTTTTTTTTTTCCTTTATAAAATTTTAACAATGTTCTCTTTGTGACTTCTAGTGGTGATGTGTGAGGTACTGTCTTGTAGTCCAGCTGAAATCGGAAGTGACCATGAAGTTAAATTTAATGTTACAAATAAGTGCTCAGGTGGCGTCCCAAGACTCGAGTCATATGAAGGTGTTTATTCTAAATGTCCAAAATACACAATTAGAGAAGACGTCAAGGAAAGGTATAATGTTACTCTATCAAAACAAAATAGTGATTATAACATCCTGACACTGTTGATTTACAACATCTCATTGCCTACAGCAGGACAAGTCGTGTATTTTAATCTTAATGAAGACAACACATCAGAAAATGGAAACTGTAATATTTCAGTTTATCGTAAGTATAGAAGTGCTATGTTATCGTCTTAAGTGGTTATTCGTCTATCGCGAGAGGTAGGTTCCAGAAACCATCTCGAAAGTCGAAAATCTGAGAAGTAGGGACCTTATATTTAACCTATTATTTGAACATATTTTAATGCTTACTCATTATAAAGGTAATGGATATATTGTTCAAAATGTACGTTTTAATGTAAAAACATCAACATTCTATGTGTGTAGGTTTCTTTTTATTTTTATAGTACGTTTATTATATTTTTTTAAATATTTATTTTGTTCCATTTTAGGAAAAGCAGACGATTTGAATTGTACTTTTAATATAACCAATGAGGGACTTAAAGTGGTTTGTTTGAGTTCTGAGATATACCCGGATGGTCCTTGTGCATTTGACAGCAATTTAAAAAATGCAAGTATAATAATGTATGCACTTATATATTCCCCCTTGCACTAGAGGAAAATTACAACTTGCAAGCGATGATCCTAAACTAAATATATCGTGCAACTCTGAATATATAAATCAGTGTTTTAGACTTCGTGTTTTCAATGTGTGTTTTACTTTTAATTGATAAGAGGTATTTAAAAGGGTCTTGATCCCTAAAGTACCAATTTTTTTTTAAAATATACTTTTTAAACACATAATGTCAGTTATTCCTGTTTACATATTCTATAATTTAACTATTTCAGGGTACATTCAGAAAGGAAGATGTCAATCTTAATTCGTCAAGCAAGAGTCCATACGTCACTAAGAAGTGCAGACTTGAGGTCCCAGTAGCGAACTTGGCACCGGGGTTACTGATGGTTAACGTAACAGTTTACCCAAATGTAACAGGTCATGTAGATGACAAGTACAAGTACGGAACACAATCAAATAAAGTTTTCAAACTAGGTTTGTTAGCAGGAAAAGACCGCTAATATGTTACATTAAAATATGAAAAACTAAAACTGTTTTTACGACTATTTTGTAATTGTTAGTAATGCCTCAAGAGACTCGTTAACCATTTGTGTATAAACTCATACCTCACTTGCATAGTCCCCATCTTATTTACACAGATAGACCATCAGTGAGACTAGACAACTGTAAGCCAGTTGTAAAAGAAGGAGAGAATGTAACTTGTCGGTGTGAACGATCTGATTCAAGTGACGTTGAAAATACCATTTATTGGTGTGAAAACTGTACACATTGCAAAGTCAGTGACGGATCTGTCTCATTTATTGCAAACAGAAGTATTGAAGGTAATTTTTCTAGTGAGATTATAAATATATAACGATAGATAGGACTGTCTCATGATTTGTTTTAACTTTTAAATCTGTTTTAGGATTTTTTTTTTACACTATAGAAACATTGGTTAGTAAATCGCGACTCGGCCAGAAATTGGTTTTGACATCATTCGAAAAACATCCTTCTTGAACAGAAAGTAGGCTCTCAAAAAAAATTATTTGGCCTACAGCTGATTTCTTTTCTCTTTTGACTCATGAGTTCACCGACCACTGCTTTAGAAGAACAAAACTTAAATAAGGGGGAAACAAGTTTACTAAAAAGACGGCAGCAAAGCTTGTGAGATTTAAAATCCTCAAATTTATTTATAATATAAATTCTAATATAATAACTACAAAATTCAAAAGGTAGAAAAGAGAGCACAAAAATATCACCTGTATCACATGACTATTAATCCACATAATAGAAATGGTGGAAGTGCTAATCCACTAAATGAATAGGAACCACTCCTCACACTTACAACATCCGTTCTGATCTACTCTGTGTCCGAGACAAATCTTATTCTACTCCAAATTAACTCAAGAGTTACTAGTTTAAACTTACAATGTGTGTCAGTTTCTAGAAAGTCAATTCAGTCAGTTTTATTTAAATGCTTTTAAAAAGAAATATATATTTTGCTTTGCCAAATGATCAAGCAGCAACGTAGTGACAGTCTTTATTAAATTGGAACCTCAGTATTACTGATAGTAGGATGAATACAGCACCGATTGTTGGTCACTTTTTTGAGTTAAACAATTCAATATTATGATATTAAATGAACGTAGGCCAGGGTTAGTTACACTTTTTGTTATTAAAAAATAACAAACCAGACTTTTTTAGTCTTTGGCTAAACAACAAATGTCTCAACAATCTCACACAAGAGATACAGCTACACATGAGGTCTTCAAACTAAACATCTTTTACACATCAAGCATAACAACAGTGATTCTCATATAACAACCGTGATCTACACATAACAACAGTGATTCTCATACCCTTGACAATAGATTTTGAAGGATAATTTTGTTAGAGTGTCAGTGTTTATACAGAAAGGGAAGGATTTAGAAGTATTGAGTATTGCATTTTAGATTTTTATTTGTAAAAACATATACATTACTTTTTTTTTCAAAATGTTACTAGTGCTTGCAGAAAAGTTCGCTTAAATCTTGGGCAGAAAGGATTTTTTTTTCAAAATTAAATGTTTAATAAGGATGCAAAGTAGAAGTACAGAAGTACAGGAAAGCTAAAGAAAATACATCGGTGGATATGAGGGTAGTGATTGTTGTATGTAAAAGTGCATGCAATCAAATGCTCGCTGCTTAAATGTGTATATGATAGCATGAAATCCTGAATGGATGCTATTTGGTCCCATTTGTAAAAAAATAAAATTAATTTCATGAAAGGGTTTGTGATTCGTCAGCAATTTAAGTCTTTAAAGGAAGGAATTAACATGAAAAAGGTGAGTTTGAACAAGCATAGACGGAATATGAATATTTCTTCTCCTCTTTGCATGCAATTGTGTTGTCTTTTGTTGTACTGATGAATGCGTTCAACTAAACAAATTAAAATTGATTGTTTAGGGATTGGATAGGCAAACATTTGTAAAATGTGAGATAAGCCGTAACTTTTTCACCGCTATTAAAAAAAAGCAAAAATAAACGAAAAAGTCCTCAATCATGATCCTGAACACAAAAAAAAGATATAGGGCCTGAAAATGCAACCTCAACGAAAGTGTAACTACTATCTTTTGACATTTTGTAGGCGTTGGAGGAGGTTGGTCATGTGATAAAGAAAAAAAAACGTGAACAGATCTCTCCATTACTTAACTCACTTCATTGCTTTAACATGCAACATTCCAGGATTGATTCTAATGAATGAACTGAAATAAAATTAAACATTAGCAGGGGATGTATTGTAGCGTGACACAAATAAATAAGTTTGTTTAGCTGGTGGAAAAGTTATCAATTTGCAAAAGGACCGTTGTCAGATGTATTCGTTATATTTTGGCTCTAAAATTTCATGTAATTTGAGCACTGGCAACGCAAGTCTCGCAGACCAGAGTCTGTCCACTGACTATCCTTTGGGGAATACTGATGTAGAGACTCGATGTTTATTTTTTTAAATATTTTTTTTTACTTTAATAATATTTCATTTTCCAGAACAGTTTTATTGTCAGGCAGAGAACATTTTACGATGGAAAAGTGACCCTGTTTTCTATCACCCAAAAATTGTCTGTAAGTATATTTTAAAATGTTTTTAAATTATGTATGCATACTTTTATATTACATGTATAAATGTGGCAATTCTTCATTCAAATAGTTTAACATAGTATTTTTTAAATATTTTTAACACTTGAAAAGTATGTCAGCTCATAAAAACAAATATTGTTCTTTCTCAGTTTGTAAAAAATGTAAGATAATCATTTGAATGAAAACAACTGTGTTAGGCATACAATAGCTTTAACAATAGTTTGAATACTTGTATTCAATAAAAAGGAACAATGCGACCAAAATGTTAAATTTATAATGTTTTATTTATTATATATTCACTGTTCCTTAAATTATTAACTCATCGACAGTTAACGACGAAGTTAACAAACCAAGTACAATTTGTTAACTTCGTCGTTAACTGTCGATGAGTTAATAATATATATATATTGTTTTAGATTTTGTGGATGAATGTAATAAATGTATAAGTGCAAATGTTAATCTTCAACTAATCTCGTTAGCTCTTTACGTGAATATCGTGCTGAAAAAACGTGTCAAGCTGTAGTGAAATGATGACTGTTCCATTGGTGGATAATGATAGTGGACACATTCAAATGTAAATGTGATCCTATTTGAGAGTTCCCAAACCAATTAAATTGAAAAGATAATGCATATTTTTTACTTTATCACAAATTAATGATACATAACCAAATAGATCAAACTATCACAATTTAACCCGTTTGGCTATCAATTTTAAATCTGGGGAAAATATGTTGATATCTACAAACATAATGCAAAACAAACCTTAACAAACCGTGATACGTACATTTTCTACACAAAGTATAACTATTTACTTCTCAATGTTTATTTATGTTTAAAAAAAAGTTTATAGATAAACTTAGTTTAATTATGAATTCTCCTAATCCTAATTAAAGGACGCTTCTTTTGCAGCTAGTTGTAATAAATGTAAATCACAAGAATAGGTTTCTTGAAAAAGTAATAATACTCTTGTATTTTTAGGAAACTCCATTGAGATATATATGCTTACTTTCAATTTTACTTGAATCTAAATTATAACATATTAAATTAAATTCAAAACATAGTAGATGTATGATGTTAACAATGTTTAAAAAAAATCTGTATTACAGCAGTACAAGATCAAACACACTTGGACATAGGCATCCTAATGTCGATTATTGAAGCTGTATTACTAGTTATCTCATGGATTATTGTTGCTCTATTGTTTGTAAAATTGAGGCGTAAGTCTATTAAATTTTTATTTATTACAATAATTCAAACGCATCGATATCCTGTTATTAACAAAAAAATAAGTTTAAGTCACAGGCTACTTGGTCACCGAACCAGCTACATACTATATTAGTATTGATAGTATATTATGTAGCTGGAATGACTCTCAATACAGTCTATCTCGACGCATATTTGATACATTATTTTGTCTACTGATGACTCATCTGGGCGTTGGGATTAAGAAAAATCAAATCGGTAAAATTTATCAATTAATCTCTAACACTTAGACAATATCCAAAATTGGGAGTATAATATTTAATACTAACAAAAACTGACACTTGATTAGCATTGATTTTTTTTTTCAGGATACTCAAATTCTAAGGTGAACCTACCCACCAAAGAAGATGCTGAATTAAAACAAATAAGGGAAAATGATGATGGCTACCTAACTCCCACTGATGTGACTAATGTAAATATTGCTCAGCAAGTCAGGGGAGATTATGACTCAATAGAACCGCATCATGGTTACGAAACAATCGGTAGAGTTGGATCATAGTGTTTATTAAGTAGTAATGTTATGTGAGACGAGTGATAACAAACAAAATTATGTATAAAACATATACAGCAATTTTTTTTTTTTAAAACATCCCATGAAGGACACATTGTCAGGAAGATAAATGGAAACGAAAGATTAACAATTCTTTAGAAAAAAACGGCTAATTTCATCGATTATGTTAAAGCTGAAAATTATTTATGAACAGCTGATTTGTTTATCCTTAATACAGACAAAATAGTAGACTCAATTTATGTGTTATTTATGTGTTTTTTTTTTTAATTTAATAAGAATGATCCTTATTTCTTGTCATTTAATGCGTTTCATTTTCTATTTTATTACTTGAAAAAAAGTGTATAATAATTTTTTTTGTAAACGAACTTTGTTTTGTAATTTTACAACGGTACATTTCAAAATGTCGTCTGTTTCAAACTATAGTTTACTATATAATCTCCAGACAGAACATTTATTGGCGGGTATATTGTTTTTATAAAAAAAAAACTTGGATAACTGTAAGTGATAATGTTATACCCATTGAAAAAACATGATTCTATGGACTTAACTAACACTAAACATCATTGGACATCATAATCAAATGTAAGACGTGGGTATTTTTCTGATAATTGTCAAATGGACACACATTATTTAAAGCAGCTCTTTTGTTTTTAGTGGGGGGTGGGGGGGTTTGTTTATTATGTATTGAAAGCAATTACTTACATGTTTGTCACGTTAAAACTAAAAAATTGAATGTAATAATCGTAGATATGTTGTTTAAAAATGTTATACCATGTATTCTTCAATCTAAAGACTGAATTTATATATATATCGAGTCCACAACAAACAATAGGACTACAGACAGCTGCAAAGATGGCTCAGGACCGGAACATCTCAAAGAACTGATTTATAAACATGTATCCTTGAAGAACCTGCGGTCTTCAACACAGTACTTACTGAGAGTTCCTTACGGAGTGCGCTCTTTTAAGGTGATAGAACCACAATTATGGAACAGTCTGCCTAAATCTTTGAGGGGAATTGAAAATGATAAAAAAGTATTTAAGAAACATTGAAAAACTTTTTTGTTTCAATAGATTTCGGGCATTAGAGCATTGTGCATTCTAAATTGGCATGGATACCAGCGCGATATAAATATTAAAATCAATCAATAACCAGATTGCCGACATTTCAACAACAGTCCTTACAGAATTCATACACCATACCCATGGCTCTGTATTGGTTATTATAAAAGTCACCTCCGAAAATATTCAACTTTCTTACCGAGGTTAACCGTGACACATCAAACCTCGCTTGGTGACAAGCTTTTTCTCCACAATCAGTACTATTAATAAAACCATGTAGAGATGGGGGAAGGTTGGTTGTGAAAATGAAGCAGGAGACACCAGAAGTAGATAAATATAATATATTATATTATATCCATGTTAAGGCAACATCAGTTATTGGGGTAATTATGTGTCCGACAGTTTCTTCGGTCCGGCTGTAAAACATCTATGTATTTGACAGTGTTTATTTCGCAACTGCATAAAGAGGCTCAGCTCTCCTTGGATTCATTATTGCAAGTGGTCGCGCTTCCGCGGTGGCGGGCTGTTTCGAATAAGTTTAAAAGCCGTGTCTCTAACCGACCAGCCAATGAACTTTTATTCTTTGAAATGATTTGTGAGCTTCGCTTTGAATCCCAGCTCAGTCATTTGGTATGTCGGGTTGGGGCAGTGCATCTTCTTATAATGTAATGGCATCTGGCCGCTCTTTTTTGCATCCCTATTACGTGACATGGTATCTACTGAAGGATGACCGAGCCGAGACGTATAGTGATGTCAATCACTTCCCGAGAATGGCTTAATCATTGTGGACTCCGATGAGCACCTTGGCGTGTCAAGTGCTCAACAAGAGTCGGTGTAGACCGCAATGGTCGTGAAACGTTTCCCCCGAACTTATTTTAGCACAATCAGCATGCTCGAGCTCTTCATAGAAATTTGTTTTTTTTTCTTTTTTTTTAAACTAGGCGCTGACATTTCCACACAAGCGGTTACTCACTTTGGTTTTCACTTTGAAACCTCGTGCTGCCTGTAAAGTCTTAACCAAATTAAATCGTATAGGCTGTAACTGTTTTCAAAGAATCTTCATTTAATGATTCTTCGGTTTGCGGGGTTTCTTCGATACATCTGCGGGAGTCATGCTTATGCATATCCGGGTGTTTCAAGTCAAAATAAGACGTTTTTTTTCCCTCTGATTTTGTATTAAAATTGGCTTTTCTTCCAGCTCATTGAACATATCCACAAAGGAGAGTTCTTCAACATAGTCCGCATTTCTTAAAGTTCTTCTAATTGGAAAATAGTTAATTATTTTTAACTGTAGTGTCATTATACTGCATGTAGTAATGCTTTGATTCTTCTCACTCCTGTTACTTTTACTTAAGTCTATATTTCTTCAACGGTGGTAGTTGTTGTGGGGAAGGCTGAAGGCCCAGAACACAAAAAAGAAAGCAATTTTTGTATGATTTTCATGACTTTGGCTTGTAAAGGCCTTGATTTGTATGAAATAGTCCATTGTACCTCTCATTTGCCAAAGATAAAGAGCTCTGATAATATTTGCTACCATTTAGAGCCTGCTGGTTTATTTTTTCATTAAACATAGTTTTGACTTGGGTTTGACAAACAATTTAGGTATATGGTTGTGAGTCTGTACTTTTTTATCAAACTTGACGCCTAAATTGGTGAAGTCACATCAACAGGAGCCTTTTCGTGCAGATGGTGTTTTCCTTCTTAAGAGCGTTCTCTTAAATTCGTAAAAATAAAATTCAACTTTACATCCATCTTGACAAACCTTCTTCACTTAGCAACGTCAGATTCTATTCAGTTTATAATTCAGTGTATAATTGCAATAAATTGCGACCCAAACTTCGTATTGTCAGATCGTCAGCAAACATGGTATTCTGAGACTTCAGCTTATATGTATGTCCTGCACATCAGTTAATTGCAGGGAGCAGCAGCTCAAAGCCGATCTCTGCGGGATTCCTTCCTTGAGAGCCTCCGAGTTCTATACTTGATGGTCTACTTTCGTAAATTTTGTCCTGTTCGTCAGAAATGCTTCAATCCAATCGAATAATTTTGCAGTGACATCTAAACCTTTCTACTTGTGCATGATTAAAAAAACCATACTATATAATATACACACCTTTGGTGTGGCGGGCGGGGGGTGGGTGGGAGGGGGTGGGGCGGGGGGGGGGCTTAATTTCATCTTTCCTTTAGAAGATATAAGACCACCAGTAGACTTATACAAACTATAAACTTAAACAAGATTTGATAGATCTCGACTAAGCCTATTTGAAATGACCTAATAATTCATATTGGAATGTTGGTTAATTTTAAAGTTATAATATTCATCCTCTTTGATGACTCAATCCTGGTCGAGTAATGTCCTGCAAGTTTAATAATTTAAATGAATCGATCTCCCAAATTTTTAACCGATTGACAACTTACTTTACTCGCTTATTTATCGAACTGAATTTTTATTTGGGTCCACTTTTCAATACAAAGCAAAATCAACACCTAATGAAATGTACCTCTACCAGGTTCCCTAATTTAACTCATTAAAAAAATTAAGGCATTTTGTTGTATTTTTTCTTTTTAAAAAATTATTACAGAGAAGAATAATTTTCAAAAGATAATGGGTTAAAAAAATGGAGGGTGTGGGGGGGGGGTTAACTTGCACGTATAATTTTCTTGAAAGCTCTATATTTTTCTCCACCGCGATATATATTGTGATCTAATAGCTTAGTTTGTTCTATAAGGTTCTAGTGAAACTACGTCCCTACGTTGTTTAAATACATTTAATGAGGATATCAATGTCTCAAGAATATCATTTGTTACAAACGTAAGAATTTCAAAGCTTGGTGAAATTTTACTTTTTTTTTTAAACTAAATTAGTCACACCTATTGCCCACTCAGTTCACACTTTGTAAATTGGTACTGACCTAGAGAAGATACTGCCCGGATTTATGATTATTTTAAACTGCTTGAGGTTTCTATCCATGTACTGATATTATAGGTTCTTTGTAAGCTTTTCCTAGAGCTGTGTCTCTTACTTTCGTAGTGATACCGATAAAGCTCTTGGCCAGAGTCCTATTAAATGGTTTATAACTTAACCTTGACCATAAACTACATCCTAAAACCCAGTGTGGATTTCGTTAAGAACGCCACACAACTGATATGATATTTGCACCACGCCAGATCCAGAAAAAAAGTGTTGAGGGCACCACGAGGGCCTTTTTATCTGACCATTGCATTTGACTAATGCTCAATTTGACAGCCTAAAAGGAATTGCTACAACGTCACCTCTTTTGTGTTTTGAGAGTCAGGTCGATGTATTCTTGAGATTATTCAATGTATTTTCCTGTAAAAACTGTTCCTTGTGACTTCTTATTTGTTGGGGACTGAGTCCTAAACGCAACCTCGGAACGGAAAATGTATCGAAAGTGTTTTAATCACGTGATCACATTATTGACACTGTCTGTATGTAAGGTATCTAGGATATAACTGGATTGTTTGACAGGGGACCATATTGTTTTCCGCTGTTTGTACACACGTGTCCCGTGCAATGCAATCTGGGTAAAAATAAAAATAATGAAAAACATTGACTTTTTAAATAATTCGGTTTTGGGAAGTTAATGCTGCACAGTACTGAGTTGGTAAAGAAAATGTTTTATGTTTATTATGTACAGCGTATGGTAGTGCCTATTTCATAGAATCACATCATTCTAACAAAATTAGTTCACAATATTATTTATAATGAAAATTAATGTATGTGTTTTATGTAATAATTTCCATTTATTTCAAAATCATTCTCTGCTTTCAATGATATTTGCTAAGTAATAACTGAAAAATAGTTTACGCTACAATCCTGTTATGACGTTTTGTATTGAATCGCTTGTGTGCTACTGCATTTTTAAACGTTCCTGCTGATTGTAAAGGGTTAAATTCAGCCAAGCGTTAACCTTGTTTTATCTTTTACAATTCTTCCCTAAACCAACTTTTTAAATATGAATCGTTTTTATATTTATTTTTTTTTAAAAAATATGTCACTCTACATTTGCAAGAGCACTTTAAAATATTAACGGTTAACTTCAAAAAACGGCACACAATATACCATCTCATGCAGTGTTCTTATTTCAACGCCATGACAGTAAAATCAACACATCCTTGCTAGCTTAAGTAAAACATAACCCTAAAAGTA